GCATGGCCTGTTGGGGTTCTATCTGGGCTCTTTTCCTCTTCTCTGCAGTCTTGGTTGTGTGTGTGAGCATGTGGATTGCTCMCTCACCTGATGGATGGATGGATGATGTATCTTGCTCTAAATGAATTATCTTTCTACAGTGCATTGTCTTTCACTTCTGAACGGTAGTAGGGGTAAGTCTTTGTTGAMAGTTGTCTTTTCCTGTTCAACACAGTAGAGATAGCTTGGACCTGACTTGGTACCCCTGTCTCGTTAGGTTTGGTCCACGACCTCCTTGGAACCTTGATTGGGACCAGTGGGACCAGGCCCAACGGGACAGGACCTTTGGGCCCAAATCTGTTGCCGCTAGTGCTTCTTCTTTGCTGTGCTGAACTTGGAGGGGGCATACGGACAGCAAGGGCGTTCCTTTCAAGGGGATCTTGACTGGTCCTACTGCATGTGATCACTTACCGCCCCGCRTCTGACTCGGCGACCGTCTGCACCCCTCGAAATCTCCATTGCTGTAGTCAGTTTTCTTCGGCTGATTTATTGCATTGCAGTCCCCTGTCAGGTTAGGCAAGAGGGGATCTCCAGCTAACCTGATTGGGCCCGTTCTATGAATCAGTCCTCTTTTATTTTTTATTATTCTTCTGCTGCGTGCCATTCTCAGTCCAAATGAATTGCCGCCCCGGCTAGGGGTTCTACCTTCTACTCTGTGAGTTCTTTGTTGTTTCTCTGCCTGATCTATCTATGTCCAGCATCGAGACGCGTGCGCAGAAAGCAACGAGAGAGAAAAGGGAGAGAGAAGGTGTTCTGTTTGAGAGTGTGAGGAAGGGCAAGAGGAGTGTTCGTCCAAACGGAAGGAGAGAGCAGACCCCTCTTGAGAGATCTACTGACATCCCTTCCTCCAGCATGGCGGAAATCACATCTGCCCAATGGCAGGCCATGCTGGACGCGGCAAGCGAGTTTGAGAAACCGTTCTTTCAGAAACTTTATGATGATGCGGTACTGAGGGAAGGGGAGGCAGAGGCAGCAGCTAAGGCCGCCAGCATTGCTGCGCAAGAGGCCCTCCTGCAAGTTCCAGAAGCTAATGCTGACCGGTTCAAGGAGAAGCTAGCTGCTGCCGTTGCAGCCTTGGTCCGTCTGCGGGAATTGGAAGACTTTGAATCTCGTGTGACAGCACTAGAGCAGCAGAACCGAAAGCTGCAGGCTGAGGTACTCAGCCTTMGACAGTCCCAACTGTCTGCCCCCCGCCCTCCTAACCCTCGACTTGCTGCAGTCTCGGTCCCTCAAACTAACACAGCCCTAGTGGCAAGTGCAAGTGGAACTGTGGCAAGCGCAGGAACCGGTGCCAGCTCTTCAAGCGGCAGCGCCGGCAGCWCTGCACTCGTCATAGTCCCAGGTGCAGGCCCTTCAGCCCAGAATGCCCCAGTTCATACTGGCATTCCATACAGCAGTCCCATGGTGGACAAGAGGGCGGCCACTTTGCCGTCCAAGTACGATGGGAAGGCGGATATTACATCCTGGATTAGTTCCATGAGATCATACTTCGAGGTCATGCGGACACCGCAGGAGGACCGAAGTATGATCATGGRCACTAATGCTGAGCCCGTCGTACGGAATCATATTGAACTACAAGCTGTTGCAGCAGGCTACGAGCGGATAGACCTGACTAGTTGGCTGAAGGTGACCCCTGTACGCACTCTTGAAGATCTCCTCCTTGAACGATATCAGGATAAGCATGCGGCGCTCAAGGCTAGGCTAAAGCTTGAGACCCTCAAGGGCCAAACATGGAGATCTTCCATGCAAGCTTTAGAACAACACTTGACTGGTCTGTTTACAACACCTGATCTGTGGATGACTGACGTGTCATGCATGGATGTAGTCATGGGAGTGGCCCCTAAGGAATTCCTCTCCCTGCTAGCACTCAAGGACCATGCTACCTGGCGAGAGCTCATGAAGGACCTAGTCAACCTAGAAGCCAAGGACCTCGCCAGACGCAAAAAGGCGCCCGCTGCAGGTGGGAAACCACAACGCAAGYGGTTTGGGAGCAGCAACCAGCTTGCACTGCATGATCATCGGGAGGCTGAGGATYARTCCTACGCGGATGATCTGTCTCTAGATGACGATCTAGAGCCGGACTCYGATACGGGYTGTTCTTCWTCAGCCATTGAGTGTGACCGTAACGAAGATGAAAAACTTAATGCATTCAAGAAGRCTGCTTCTARGGGGCCTAACCGTGGTTCGGGTAGGGGAACTGTTGTACACCTCCCCAAGAATGCGAAGATCCCTGAGAAACCGGAGGATGMTTCTACCAAACCTTGGGAAGCYCTCCGCATCAGCCAAAAGGAGTGGGAAAGAAGATCTAAACTGCGCGTGTGCTTGCATTGTCAAAAGCCTGGGCATGCCGTGCAGGACTGCTACCGACTTCAGGGAAACAGGCAAGGGGCGTAGAGGAGTTATCAGCCCTCTCTACAGCAAGGGGAGCTGAACAGTCAGTTGCAGGCCCTTCCAAGGAGCCTGARTCTGATCAACARCTAGYTCTTGARGCCCTATCTGATGCTGATTCCAAGGYTGACACGGTCCGAGTGTTATACACTGAGCCTTGGGAGGAGTCTAAGGAAGTAGACYTCCACGCCCACATGGAACATTGGCTGCAGCTCAAGCAGCAGCGCCGTGTCCAGGGAAGTGTGGAGTTGACCTTCTTTAAACTTCTCATKAACCGCCGATACATCCGAGTGCTGATCGACAGTGGTTCAACCACTAACTTTTTCTCTCCTAACGGGATTCGTAAGGCGGGCCTGGGTATGAAGCAAGTGGAACTGCAGAACCCTTGTCGGACTCAGGTAGGCAACCAAGAGGTTGTCACTTCCACTCATGTCGTCAAAGGTGTGCGCATCACCTTTGACAAAAAMCGCACTGTCACGCATGARCTCAACTTCTATGTCATGGACAAGTGTCCGTTCGATGCGGTCATTGGCTTSGGCTGGCTAAAGGCTCACTGCCTAAGGACCACATGGGCGGACAATCAGTTCGTGGTGCTTGATGCCAAGGGGAACGAGCGTACCGTCTTGTTGGATTAGACGCGCGAGTCCCCTGTGACTCTTCTCAGTGCTAACAAATTCTGCAGATCGGTGCGCAGGCGCAAGGAAGGTGAGTTTGTACATATAGCTCTTGTAAAGCCTTTCCCTGTGCCTTCTACTTTTGCTGCATTTTCTTCTTCGGAAGGTAACTCTACTTCTACTCTTGTTCCATCTACTTCTACTATGAATACTCAGCCTACTTCTGATTCGGAAACCTCTAAACCTGTTGTAATTGCTGTAAATTCCCAGTCTGATTTTCTCTCCCCTGATGAGGATGATCCTCCACCGGAAATCCCAGCAAGCATTCGCCTCCTATTAGATCGATTTCCGGAAGTGTTGGCTGAACCTCGCGGAGTTCCCGAGCGTCCAGTCAAGCACAAAATTGAGATAATAGAAGGGAGCGTTCCTCCAAAGGGTTGTGTCTACCGTATGGGGCAAGGTGAGTTGGAGGAGCTGCGGAAACAGATTGATGATATGATTGACCGTGGTTGGATTAGGCCTAGCGAGTCCGAGTTTGGTGCCCCTGTCTTGTTTGTGCCGAAGAAAGGAGGCAAACTCCGAATGTGCATTGATTACCGTGGCTTGAACCGGATCACTAGGAAGAATGCGTACCCTTTGCCTCGCATTAATGATCTGTTGGATGCGGCCGGTGGTTGCAAGGTCTTCTCCAAGATCGACCTCAAGTCTGGCTATCACCAGATTGAAGTCGATCCGAGCGACCAGCACAAAACCGCGTTCAAGACACGCGACGGGCTGTACGAGTTCATCGTTATGCCCTTCGGTCTCACGAATGCACCAGCCACATTCCAGTCCCTCATGGACAAGGTACTCCGCCACCAACTTAACAGGTTTGTGGTTGTGTATCTCGATGATATTTTGATTTTCAGCAAGTCCATGGAGGAGCACGTCAAGCATCTTGAGGAGGTCTTGCAAGTCCTCAAAGATGCTCAGCTGCACCTCAACTTGGAGAAATCTGAGTTTGCCAGGGACAGCGTCATCTATCTGGGGCATCGGTTGTCTGCGAGCGACCTTGAGCCGGAGGCAACCAAGGTTGAGGTCATCAGCAACTGGCCTCAACCGACAAATGTACGCGAGCTGCGTTCTTTTCTTGGTTTRGCCTCTTATTATCGGAAGTTTGTGCCTAAATTTTCTGTTATTGCTCACCCACTTTCCCGCCTGACGAGTAAGAATGTTGCTTATGTGTGGTGTGAAAAGTGTGAGACTGCGTTCCAAGCCTTGAAAGAGGCTTTGGTGAGTCATCCTGTGCTCCGCATTGCGGATCCCAACCTCACGTTCGTAGTTACTACGGACGC